CCTGCTCTTAACTAGTTTTTTTAAAAGCAATGGCCAACTGCACCATTTTATTCCTGGACTATTTCGAGCAACACCTTTTTTTCTAAAGTTTCACAATCAATGTCAGATCTGATTTAATTTGGATAACTCATGAATTCTCTACTCATAAACGCATCACACTAGGATCATTTTTCGAAGGTTTTTTATCCCTTTATCCAAGATCTTTTATAAATCATAAGTGCTTTAATAACCTTGGAGGTCAGCGAACCCCTGATGAATGATATGTCGTTTGTCCTTTGCATTCCACATCTGTCATCTTTGCAAATTTGCAAGAAAATCAGCTCTTTTACAAGAAAGTTGCCATCTCAAAGATAGCTCTGACATTTGAAAGAAAAATTCAATTTGTTGCAAGTATTGTAAAATGCGTAATTTTTTTACGAAGAAAAAAAGAAAATCACAAACATCTTGTTGAACATCTTGTAACTTTAGATAAAAGATATATCAGTTTCTTACACTGGCTAATTAATTTCCAAAGCTAGATGCTCAAGGCATTAATTCTCGTATCTGCTTCATATCTCGTATGGCGATGTTACAAATAACTTGCGACTAACTAATGCGATCATTTCTAGAGATGTTCACTTGGTGGCTTCTCTTGATTCCGGGCATCATCGCATTTAACGTTCCTTTTATGAACACTGCACAGGTTACTCATTCTGGTAAGTTATCATCTACGAGCAAATGCTTTCAACTTTCAATTCTTCTTTCATTCTTTTTTCCAATTTTAGGTCCCTCAACATCTTCAAAATTGGCAGAAAACTCAGACGAAGTACATCGATCAAAACGTGGATACTATTTTTCACAATTTGATCAATACAGTAATAATCTCTTGGTTCAACCTCAAGAACCAGATGATCTCATGAAAAAATGGATCACTTATGAGCACAATCGCTATCGAAGAATGGTAAATTTCTATTTTTGAATGTCATTTTTGAATTTTTGCACACCTCATAACTTCAGGTTCCTGCTACCGATATGAACATGCTGTATTGGTCAGACGAATTGGCTGCAAGTGCTCAAAGGCATGCGAACACTTGCGATTTTAGACATTCTAAAGGAAGAGTGAATGTTGGCGAGAATATCTGGGCTGCGCCATACAGTAATTATTCTGATGCAATCACGCTTTGGTTTGATGAGGTGAGATTTTATGAAGAAAATCTTATAGGCTCTGTAAAACTAAAGATTGTGAAACCTCATTTCCTGAATCTACTGCTGAAAAGCTTCAGAGCAGAAAATTCCTTTTTTGTATGTCGGTTTGGAAAATACATTTTGCTTTGAAATTTTTTTGGAAGATTTGCCTGTGCAAATTTTTTGTAATTTGTCAGTACGGAAAATACATTGTTGCTGGACTTTTCTTGCAACATTGGTTTTAGGATTTTCGTTTTATAATTTGGATAATTCTTTTGGGAGTGACTTCCCCTAAACATCCTTCCTTTCCCTCCTCTCCTTTTACATTTCCATAAAAATACGATTTCCTCTGCCGTAAAATAAATATACCGTTATGCCAGTTACGGTCTCAGAATTTTATAAGTAGTAAAATCTGATTTTCATAAAATTCATAAATCTAAAATATTTTCACAAATGAATACAAGTTACCCGCATATTACTCTCTATAAACTATACTATGGAAGAATACATTCAAAATTTTCGAGATTCCCAGATGAAAATATTTTATCTTCCTGCAACTGAAACTAATGTATCCGCGTTTTTAGATAGGTCCAAATTCAAAAGATTTCCGAGAGGAGAGCAAGTTTCATATATCTCAACGAATTCCTTCTTTTTGAAGTAAATCTTTTTTGAGATTGTGATAGCACAATTCAGCCAAATACTATTTTTGCTAGTTATGTGATCATTTGAGATTTGTTTCATGAAAATTACCGTAATTTTCCATATGAGTCCCATTTCTGTTTGCATAGTGCAGAAATAGTAATTTGTTAGTACTGAAAGAATTTCCAGGTGAACAATCCCCGTTGCGGTTGTAATCACGCCTACAAGCACTGCTGTGGTCACTATGTGCAGGTGAGCAAAACCCGTTCGTATCCCTTGTGATTCTTGCAAAAATATTGCAACAAAGCCACTAGGCGATTGTTTTCCTTCTCGCTAATCCTATCATATCCTGGCCTTGCGCGATTGATTGTGTCCTAACTTCCGGTACGATCGCTATGTGCGTTTTTTGCGTGGTGGAGTGATTGCGCGAAAAGTCGGCCCTAGTCCGATAAACTGACGTTTACTATCTCGTATCCATTGTTTGGTCATCGTAAAAGAAATTGATGCCTTAGAAATGCGAGAAAATTTTTTCTTTGACCATGTTTTGGCTAGAATTCTGCGCTTGGGCTAGAGCATCTGCAGGTAAATGAATGAAACTTGAGAAACCATCCTGCATAGAGCGTTCAAACCGTAGCGGAAGCGAAAATCACATCGATTATAGTAATGATTGATTACGAGAAACGTTGCACTGTCCACGCAAGAATGTGCGTGATTTGAAGAACGCATTAC